TCAAGGACAAGAAAGATTTCAAGATGGGCATCTCACCTGCTGAAGAAAATGCAGAAGGCGAGCGATGGAGATGAGGTTGATGCTAAAAGAGGAAAATAGAAAGATGGGTGTGAGGGGTTTTGGAAATCTGTTTCGGAGAAATCGCAGAGTTTGAGAGAAGAATGGGTTCTAGTTTTTACTGCCGATATATATAGGAGGTTAAGTAGAAACACATTGATCGATTCTCCGCTTCCCGCCAATCCCATCTTCAACGGTCGGAAATTTACACCTTTCCCCCAATTTAAAACCCTAATTTTCAACAGAAGTTCCAATTTTCATGATCAGCAAAAGCAAGATCCTTTGCAAATTCCTATTCTGATCATAATCATCGTTATATTTGGGATTTGACGGTTAAAGTGGTTGATTCAGTTTCACCCATCACCAGGGAGCGCGAACTTAGAGTTTTTTTTTCTTTGATGGAAGCGCACTGAGAGTTAGTTATGAAGAAACTGGCTTTCTCTCAGTATATACTCGGACTGTTTATATCTCATCTACATTGATTGACCGACCGACCGACCGAACCGAAACGGATTGAATTCGATTAAATTTCAATCTGAACCGATGTTAATTAGACTTGGTTTGAATTATAAAATTTTAAAATTAAATTAAATAATTTAGTTTAACATTTTATTTTTAAATTATCTGAACTATTAAATTAAAAAATAATTAGGGGTTTCTAAGTTCAATTTTAAGATAGATGAAAAAAATTTTAAGAAGTAAAAGATTATATAATGATCTAGTAGTACTAGTCTAGATATACCAAAAATAAAAATTAATCAACCTCTTGGCCAGATTAATTATCCAATGGATCTAATTATCAAAATGAAGAGTTCCAAAGGAAAAGTCTTCAGTGGTCTAGCAGCCACTTACTTCATTATAAAGGTATTTGAGTCTCACATTTGTATTCAAAAAAAAAAAAAATGAAGAGTTTAAAAAATATGTAATGCTCACACAACTATAAAAATTCAATAATTGAGAAGAAAAAATATAAACTATAATAAAAGGCATAATTTTACACCTATAATAATTTTTCTTTTTATATTTGAGGTTTTTTTTTTTTATATTCTTTAATTTATTTTATCACACATTATATGAATCAAATTTCAAATCTCTTATTTTTATTAAAAAAATTAACACTAAATTACCTATAGTTGACACATATTTTTATAAATCTTCCTCATCAAGATCTACTAGACTACAGAACCATTCTTAGTATTTGGCAGAGCTGTTGGTAGTAATATGTACTTGGGTGTGTAAGAGTTTCAAACTTGATAGAAAAAAAAAATAACTGCATTGTATTATTAATTGTCATTGACTTTACAAATATAAAGAATATATAGACTAAAATACACCTTAACTATATTGAAACCCAAATACAAGTTATTATATGCTTGGAAGTAGTTTCCATATTAAAAAAAGATATCATTGATATAAAAATTAATACTTTGAAGTTCTGGAATGATAGTTGGTGACTCTTCCAAATATTTAGACAACAACTTTATCTTATAATATTCCCAAAATATCAAAAATGAACTTTGGATCAACCCTCATATTACCAAATGAACTAGCTTTTGGTGTTTGGTTTGGTGTTCATAGTATATACGAAACAAAAGCATATTCAGTTATTCTTAAGTCTGTAAGAATACCCCATGGTATGGTTATAAATAGGGTGAAAAGACATAAAATTATAAAAGCTTCTTATAACATAGTGCTCATGATATATATTGTCATGAGAATGATATTGAAGTAGTAATTATTAGAGTAATCATTTTTTTGGTATATTAGATGATGGGATTTACAACAGAATATGGTCAGTTAAACATTTTCACAAAGATCAAAAAAAATTTTATGGAGACTATCAGTCAGTTGTAGCTGGAGATGATGGCATATTTAATAAATTCAAAATGCAGAATGCTTAGTCTTTTGAGGAATTCTCTTTGTTTGGCTTGTACCTATAATAATATTCATTGCAATCTGTTTGTAATGGAGGAACATGAGGTACATGAGGTGACAAAAACAAAATACTAGGTTAAATTGATTAGAATGTACATAGGCAACACTGTGTTCCCTCCCATGTGTGTCACAAAAAATGGAGATATTCTAACAAATGAACAAGGGGAGACAAGATTATTCCTTTTCAATCGAGATGGATTATTAGCAAAGAAGATTGCAATCCACGGCCTTCTCCTCCCTAACCATAGCTTTTGTGTAATTCCCTATATCGAAAACTTAATTTCCCCATTTGCATTAAACTCAACCTTCACTCAATTTGAAATTACTGATGTGTGGTTTTGCTGGCACTACTTATGTGTTAGAATATGTTAGACGCTACCAAAGTATGAGTTTTCCTATTCCAACCATTATCTATCTACGTCTGCATATTAACTACTTTCACTCACCACTTGTATGTACTTCTAAAAGTGAAATCCTATAATCATAAACCAGAGTATATGTGAATGCTCACAACAAAGAATGGTGAATTATTTCATGCAAATGTATAACAAACAAAGGTCTTATCCAATGTTACAGTTTTCCATTTCTAGAGAACTCTTTTTTTCCCCTGGTTTCGGGTAAAAAGATAAATTTACGATGTACAAGTATCCTATATCTGCACTATCTTAATAAAAAAATAGCATGTCTATATGCCAAATATGAAGCTTGTTCTAAACTTACAGTCGAATCCCCTGAATCCCCAATAGTTAAGAAGACATCCCAAACTCATTTAGTAGGGACCAAAATCTTCTATAATCAAGAAGGATGGTCCAATACCAGAGTCCATTGCCATCCCTGTTCCATTACCATAATCTCAATTAGAAATGGGATGAAAACATAAATACATTACAACTGACATAAACTTACAGCCAAGTCATTGTTATGGAAGTATATCAGACCTCATCTGCTGTTAAAATAATCTCCAGATGCAAAAGGCAGGGACAAAGAAGCTTGTATGCTAGTAGCAGTCATTGCAAAAGCTTTGATGTCCTCATGGTTGCTAGGGCTATAGCACCTCCATAGCTTCTTCAACCTTCGGTTTGTTCTTAGGTCGGCCAGATTGTCTTACATTTTTACTTGACAAAAACTCCAATGCTTTCTCTAGGGTAACATCATTTGGATTCATATTCTGCATGCCACCATTGATTAAAAATTTGCAAAAGGAAAGGACACGTAGTTCTAATTGTTTGGTGGATAACTACTGACTAATGGTATGTACTAACACAATGGAAGACGTATCAGTGAACTGAAGGAAAAACATATATCTTGAGGTCACTAGCTACTGTCCTATATGGCAGTACATGCTGGTTGCCCATCATTTGATAACCTTAGGTTAAATGAAAATGTACCTTGGGAACAGAAGCAATGGTACGTCGATGGCGAATAGAAAATCCAAACTTGGCAAGCTTCATAACCACTGGCTGCCCATCTTTTGGATGATTTCCCTGCCCACATTTGACATGAATTAATTCAAGGACTATCAGCCATATAAACATGATACAACTCTGTTTAGAGATTGATTAACATACCAATGTCACAGGGTAACGAAGCAGATCAAGAGCATCTTCAAGCGTGATTGAATTAACATCCTTTATCTGGACAAGAAAAGGGAAAAAAAAAGTTACAAGAAATATTTTATCAATTTGCCTTATGGTTGATGAATTCCAGTTGGAACTTAGATGCATGGCATTGAAGATTAATCACAAAGCAAACATGAACTCCAGGTTACTCATGACAGCCGTCAACACAACTTTTCAATGGGCACATTAAATGGTTATAATGCAATTTGGTACCACCAAAAAGGACAATGGTCTTCAGAAAAAATAAATTGAAACAATATCTAGAAAACAAGCTAATA